TTCTTGCCGCAGTAGTAAAATACGTGAATAATTTATCTTCATTTTCCTCTACTTTAAAGTCAGAGTCCGTAAATCCTAATAGATAATATTCAGGTTTCTTTCTAAACCTTCTCTTCAATATCTTTTGTATTTCCTCATGTATAGATGCCCAAAACTTGGTTGTTTCTTTGCATGTCCACCATGTGTGGAAAAAAGTGCCTGTTTGTTCTCCACATTTCCAACACTTATCTGAGACATTTGGGTACATCTGGCTTAATTTATTCGGAGTCAGATACCATCTATAAAACATTTTATACCAATTTTCTTTCAAATCCATGGCATAGGTATATTTCAGCTTTTTATTCCACATTTGTTCCCATTCTCTAAATTGAATGGGCCGTCTTAGATTTTCGACCCATTTAATCATACAATTTTTAACCTGTTCTTTTTCCGTTTGCCATTGGATCAATTTATTGTAGAGAATTGTGACTACCTTCTTCTCAGTTTTTAAAATTTTGTCCCATGTGTTTTCTTCCCAGTCAAATCCAATTTTTTGATCTTGTTTAAAATGCTCTTTAATTTGAAGATAGTGTAACCAGGTTATATTTCCAAACATATTCTTGAGTTGTTCAAACGATTTAATCTTCATTTCCCCTTTCAACAGAATATCCTTGTATCTTGGCCAAATCCTCCATCCAAGGAGTCTTCTTTGATGGGCCTCCATCGCCGAGACCCAAAGAGGTGTAACTGTATAAAAGAGGGCTTTGTATCTTAACCATGTCCTCAATAGGGAGGCTCGCACGAAATGATTTCCAAAGTTTTTTTCCTTGGATTCTCTATTATACCACACATAAGCGTGCCAGCCTACCCTCAAATCGTGGCCCTCTAGATTTAAGCACTTTTCTTTATTCAGATTCATCCAATCTCTTATCCATGATAGAGCACAAGCCTCATGATAAGTTTTCAAGTCTGGAAATCCCAGACCTCCTCTCGTTTTTCTATCAATTAAGTTTATATAATTAATCCTTGGCCTTTTCCCTTTCCAAATAAATTTAAGTAAATCTTTCTTCCATTTTTTAAACAAAGTTTGATTTCTTATTACCGGTATATTTTGGAATAGGAACATAAGTCTTGGAAGAACGTTCATCTTTATTAATGATATTCTACCCAGGAGTGATAGATTTAAGTAATTCCATTTTTGTAAATCCTTTTGAATTTTATTCCAAACTATTTCATAGTTATTCTTCAAGAGTTGGCAGTTTCTCGCGGTAATCCAGACTCCTAAATATTTAATTTTCTTTACACTCTCTATCCCCAGTTGTTGTTGAATCTTTATTTGTCTCTCCTTTTTCACATTTTTAAATAACAGTTTTGTCTTCTTCATATTCATTTTGAATCCAGCCACTTTTCCAAATTGCTCTATTTTCGTTATCCAATGTTGTAAATTTTTGTCCGGGTCTTCAATTGTTCCTAACAAATCATCTGCAAACGCCCGTATTTTATATTCGAATTTGCCGATTTTCGCTCCTTTTATATTTTCATCTTCTCTGATTTTCTTCATTAGGATCTCCATAGCCATTATAAAAATCAATGGGGATAATGGGCATCCTTGTCTAGTGCCCTTCACAATTTCTAATTCTTGTGTCAATTGTCCATTTATTTTCACTTTGGCTTTTTGATAATTATAAATAGCGTTAATTGCATTGTTAAATTTTTCTCCCATATCCAATTCTTGTATTAATATCTTGAAAAAATCCCAATTCAGATTGTCAAAAGCTTTTTCGGCATCTATTGCTAATAGCGAATTCTTTTTGATGATTTATCTCATAATATTCCAAAATATCAAGGACATTGCGAATATTTTCTTT